GGAGAGTTCCCAATCCACATTCCACCACTTTTTCACGGACCACTCTTTCAAATTGAATAATTCTGAAACTTTTGAGGCATTAATCGGATTTTTCAAATCTGGCATTGTGATGTGTTGATTGGAAGAGTTGAATTCTCGGAGCATGTATGCGACTAGTTTCTGAGCAATCCCGAAGGCAGCACATGCGACACAAACTTGAGTTCTAGTGAGACCCATGATTCAAAAGTTTTCACAAAAAATGAAATTCGAAGAGTCAAACACCCAAGAGTACGTTGAAATGATGTTTTCTCACAAGTGATGATATACGCGGTCCTATCAAGTTCATCATTACTTCGGTGAAAAAAAGTGTGATTTATTTTGCAACACCCCTTACATGTAAAAAAATCTTTATTTTTTCTTCTAAATAAAGATTACATTCTGTCACATTCTACAGACTTCATTTTATTACAACTGTTATATATATTCTTGCTCCTAAACACGCTAATATCTAAATGTGGAAAGACATCTTTCTTGTAAAATGGACTACTACCTATCACACATTATAGAATGAACTTGATTACATTTCTCTTATTTCCTTGTTCCTTTACTCACCAAAGTCTAAATATGAAAAGTAATCTTTCTTGTGTAATTGGATTACTACTCCCCAATTACCTTATATAGATTTCATTACGTGTATATTCTTCTTCTTTACTTACTAAAAATTTTACTCACTAAAATATGCATAGGAAAAGCCATCTCATATTGCAGTTTCATTTTATCATAATTCTAATACAATACATCACTCACAAAATTACCATTGCTTCACAATAAAAAAATTCTTACAAGTTATGTATTCTTTTTACATGATAACATATTTGTGCAATTTAACCAAATATAATGAATAACTATAAAAGGTAACTTCAGCCCATAAGTTACAGATTTATCCTTACTACTATAAAATACTCATGCTCTGCTGTAGGGTTCAAAGGCCCCTCCCCCTCTCATGATTCCCAATGTACTGAAGAAGCTCCTCTATTATCCTCAATTACTATCACAGTTTCTTCAAGTGGAGTTTGTACCTGAAAACAAACCTTGTTAGGACACCAGAGCATGTGCCCTACATTTGGTTCCACAAGTATGTGACTGGAGGTATGAATATAGTTTCAAATATAGTGCCCCAGAATACCAAGTGTTGCCAGGAACACAAAATCCAATGCCATATTTATATTCAGCAACCCTATATTTAACTTGATTATATTTTAATTGGAGTATCAATATTCTTGCTATTTATTGCATAATTATGTTATTAATTTACTTTTTTACTTATTATTTTGTATCTTCCTAAACTTTAGTTGTTTTGTTGTATCACATGTAGCCTGCTGGCCAACTCTATAGCTAAACAGTAACACGTGTTGTCATAATTTATCTCAGGTTACAGTACTGAAATAACAGTTACCAGATATGATATTACTGTGATGCAAATTTCTAGAAAATAAATTATCATATCTTTTATAAAATATTAGATTATCATATGTTTTTAATCATATATTTTTATATCACAGTAAAATTGTATGTTTATGTATTCTTTATATAGAAATCACAAAACCATACATGATTAAACATTCTCCATTGTAACTTTATTCTAAACTATCAATGAAATAAATACATGGTAGATTTTTTTTTTCAAAGAAGTAGCACCATTCCTTTTGGAAGAGCATAATATTCAAGCTTTACTCATATGATTACATAAAATGGATTGGGTTTCCTGTAGACAAATAAAGCTCTCAATCAATCACTTGGATATCTTCAACTAGCTCTTGTTTACAGGTGGGTGAATCTTTTAGTTAAGTTTTTCTACACAAATAAGCAAATGCCAAGCATGTAACAGACATAATGCTCAGCTTCTTATACAACTGAAGCAACTTTTCCTTATTCCACAAGTTTTAGTCATTTTAAAACAAGAACTTGTAGTATGTGAGTGTGAAGGTTGCTAAGCTAGTTAGAAGCATATTAAAAATCAGTCTTTACTAAAGAGACCAGTTTTATAACATCTGTATAGTCCCTGTCAATGAAATGAAACAGATATCCCTATAAAAAAATCAGTTCAAATTTTGTGTATTGTAAACATGATGACAGGTAACTTGTACTAAAATATTGTGAACTAAGAATAAAAACACACATTTCAACAAATTATATTACCATGTTAACTTTTTCTCCTAACAAGACATCAAGCAATTTTTATTATATTTGCATTTATGTGTAATTATGTGCTATTACTAATAGGTGGTACATAATACTGAAGCTTTATTTTCATGATAAGTTGTTGTATCATTATACAACCCTGATGTCAAGCTATTCTAAAGTTACTTTGGGAATAAAGTTTGAAAACATGACTGTTATTCCCAAGATAATAGTAACAAAAGCCTTTTTATTCCTGCCAACGTTTAGTCATTGCTACTTCATTGGGGCTAGTAATACTGGCAGAAATTAAGTTTTTTGTATCATTATCTGGACAGTAAAGGTTGTTGCCAAAAAGTCTAAATCCATCCAGTATGCATTACAAAACAGAAAAATATTCTGAAGTTACACTGTTGGAGGAATTTACTTTATAAGTACAGTGACAATTAATTTAATCAAGCTCATATCTGTGAAGCTATACCAACTATAACTCTGAATTTACCATGTATATTTGAAAGAAGTTTGACAAGCTTTCAGTAAATATTAAAAGTCTGTTGTGCACAAAAACCAGATTTTTTAATACACTATTTCTACTAATAATTTGTTAGTGAATTTCTGAAATCTTTACTGAGCAAGTGTCTGAAAGGTGATTTTCATACTAAGAATATAAATAATTCTTTTATTCATACAGTTTTTCATCTTTCACTTGCATAAGCTCTAGAACCTCCTGAATGAACATCAAAAGACTGATTTTCATGAAATTAGATTTTATCTTTTATTTTCTCTGTCCTAACACAAACTATAGAGAAAGCAGTGTACAGTGAAATAAAAAGTTGAAAAATATGAAATAAAATGAGTAATACCGTTCTTTCCTCTGAACTGATTGCAGAAAGTTCCAAACTACTTATCTTAACAGTATCAAATGTCAACCTTTCTTTTAATTCTATGTTTTTTTATTGCTGTACTTTGTACCCACTGAAGCAGAATTCCTCATGTCAAAATCAATGAATACAGTGGGAGTCATTAGCTCACAATTTATTTTATTTCACAATGCACTCAAACTTGCAAAATAAGACATTTTGTTTTCTGAAGTTTTGTTATGCTAGGTTGAGAAATTTCTAACTTTTACATTTCAGTTACTTTTATTAACAAAATATATAACAATACATAAAAGACAAGGATTTGTAGCACTCACTACATACTTGAGGTCCTTTGCATTCAAGTAAAAATCAAAACTTTCTTCCCTGAGCAAACCGAGTCTCTCAAACTTAGGTGCCTAAAATAATTGACATAGCTTTCAAATACACATTTTAGAACAAAAAAAATCAATTATTAGAATAGATCATCCCAAAACTACTATAATTTATCTGGCTTTCTGAGTGAACTATAAATAGGCTAAAAAAAATTCTGTCATCTTTCTTGTAAAGCTGAATAACTACTCATACCATACTACAGATATCAGTTTATATTACATATACATTCTTGTTACTTTACTCACTAAAATGTGTACGTGGAAAATAATCTTTGTAAAACTGAATTACCACCCATCACATACTGCATATTTCATTTTATTAAAATTCTTATATATTCTTCCTTCTTTACTCACTAGAATCTAAATATGGAAGTCATCTTTTTTTTTGTAAAATTAGATTGGTACCCATCACAGATATAATTCTATTGCAACTCTTATACACTCTTACTTCATTTATTCACTAAATTCTAAATATGAAAAGTAATGTTTAAGTTTTTAATTGGATTAGTACCCATCATGTACTATATATTTTGCTTTCTTACAATTCTTATTCCTTCGCTTACTTTCAACAAAATGAATAAGACTTTTACAATAATAGGAAACACTCTGATCTGTCTTAGACTTAAAGCATCTAATCTACCGTAAAGATGAAAACTGACTTCAATATTGGCAAAATTTTATACATTTTAATCTAAATCATGAATACTGCCAGGTATGATACTCTTTTTTTAATAAAATCATAAAATGTTACACATTACAAACAGAGAGAATAAGAAAATGCCAAACTTACAAGCCTTCTCTATATCCATCCAGAAGTGCTTGACATAAGGATTTATTCTGAGGGATAGTCTGTAGGATTGTACCATCTCCAGTAACATACCCAATGGCCCACTGGCCAAGCCTGGTACAACTAAGCCTAAATACATAGCTATAAAGAGAAAACAAAAAAACTGTCAACCACATAATAATATATTCAGAAAATGTTTTCTATGTACGAAATAATCAACATGCTCCTACCACACAAAATATTTATATTTAATATCCTAAAAACAAATAAATCATCTTGAATAGACATATTAATTAAATATATAAATGTAGTTATAAATTTTCTACAAAGTGTCAACATTTCACTTAATTTTATATTCTTAAAAAGTGATTTTCTTAAAAGAAATTATATGTACCAAGCACGCTCAAAAGTTAACATTTTCCTTACCTGTAAAAGTATTTCTGATAGATACTCACCTTCTCACACAGTTCACCTATCTTACTCATGTGTCTGCCATAGAGAATTGCGTGCCACTAGACTTGATGCTACTCCCACCTACTTTCATGTGATTTAACATTAATTGAAATGCGACATGATAAATTATCATGCAGAAAAAGCCCTCCACCACTAGGAGGGTGACACACCTCCATATGCAATAGCTCCCATATGCACTTGGACTTGTGGTAACTTCATTCTTCGATGAGGCAAGTAAAATAAAGATGCAGCTGAATTGGAGAGGATGGGTAGGAATGTTTGTGGGGGTCAGTATTTATCAGAAATACATTTTCAGGTAAGAAAAATGTCAACTTCCAAGATGATAGCTCACCTTCTGAATTAGATTCACAAATTTAATTGGTGGAAGGGTTGGTGCATATTTTACCTAGATGAGCTTCCTTCAGAAAGCATATGAAGGATGCCCATAGTGTGTGACAACCAATGGCAGGGTTTCCATACGGGCACATCCAAGGGAGAATGCATCTCATCTTGCCCAGAGTTTTCTCTTTGCCCAAAAAGGAAGAGGCAAATGAGCCCCCATGTGTCTAAGGAAAAGGCAAAATGAAAACATGACTATCCAAGTACTTGCACATAAGTAATCGAATAGCCAATATGTGTAGTTTGGTTGGGGCACATTCAAACTATAACTTGTATGCAAACCTCAATTCTACCATCAGAGTCTACAGAACAGAGTCCAGCTGCAGGAGGAAGGAGGAACAGTAGTCATGTCTTCACATTTCATATATTGTGTGCACATCAGATATTCAGTATGATTACTTATATAGTGTACTCACTTTGACTCTACTGAACATATACCATCCGCAGGAGGAGGGCACAGTTGTAGTGTGTGTGCTTCCCTCAACTCCAATGGACAGACTCTGGTGGCAGAAGAAGAGCATAAGTGAAGTATATGAGGGGTGACCTGCACTACACTAACAGTGTCATCACCACCCAACTTCTCACCATATTTGTACACCTTTGTATAACCTCCAACAACCAACTGATGAAGATTCTTCATAGTCCATCACCCCAGTGGCTAGGAATTGGTGAGTGGCAAGAGTCTCCTATGTTGCACTCGACAAAGATAGAGGGAGTATTCATGTTGAAGAGACCTGGAGAAAAGTGCATGGATCCCCCCATCGATCCTTCAGTCCTGGTTCGATAGTAATTTTGGTTAAGTATATCCTGAGAGGCAACACCAGACACCTGATGGGATCCTATGAAATAAAAAAGGGGCTCTGAAAGTGAAATAGTATGTATATATATCATAAAGACTGTGGCAAGAGTGAAGAATGGTGACCTATGGAAGCTAAAAACAGTCAGGAAATAAAACAGCAAAAAGGTGCATAGGAGGAAACATATGTGTTTAGAGTGTCCACATGCCTGCCTGGAAGAGCTCATATTAGAGCTGGCAAAGAAGAGAATGAAAAAGGTGATGAATCAAATGAGAAGAAATGTGAAATAGTCTTGTGAGAGAATATACCAACTGAAGGAGGTTATGGGGAGTAAACCTTGGAAAGAGATTAGTCCCAAGGTAGGGACAGACAAAAATGAGGACTTCAAAAGGAAGAGGTCAGCAAAAAAGCACAAAAAGCAGCTAACAGGACACAAGAGCTGACCCAGGTCAGAATGGTGGATGAGGCAAAAGGAAGGGAGATAGGAAAGAAATACAGTCAATTTCCTGAAGAGGAATATGTAAGTGCAGTGGTAGAAAGTGTCAGAAGCATCTATAGGATAGATGAACAAACAACAGTAATCACAGGTGAGGAGTCACACCAAGAGTAAATCCCATAAAAGACTTAGGGGTGTAGAGAGACTACTCCATGGATAGAATGCAGACTGGCCAAGAGAGGTGGCTCACCACCAAGATTTAAGCTTCCGGTAAAAGACAGGCAAGATGATCAACCCGATGTGAATGGGTGTAGAAGTGTACATCTAATGCCCAAAAACAAAATGTCCTGAAACACGTGCCTCACGAATGCTTGGTGCAAGAAACTTCCATTTAATACACCACAAAGTCGAATACAACCAGGTGATCCACCAGTATGGGCAGAAATAGGAACATGTCTGACAAATAACATGAATGATGAGCTTGTTGATATTGTCCAGCATCCAAATGTCAGAAGTCCTGCTCAGATCTAGAAATGTAGCTCACTCAGAGAGGGAAGCATCAAAGAATGGTGAAATCTGGCTTGAGAGGCAATGAGGGAAAGCAGGATGTAGTAAGAGCATGGTTCAATCACCATGACAATTCCTCTAGAAGAGGGTCACAAAAAAGGACAAGGGATCCCAAGAAAGAAAACCCTGGGTCCACTAGGTCTATCAGTGAAGACATATGTGCATGCTTCAGAGGAATGAGGGATTCCAAGGAAACCTGACTCTCTAAAAGTAAAAGATCTTCCATGTAGGAAGAGAATGAGAAGATTAATACCTGGTGAGCAGATATGTTACAGCTCACAGACAAACAAGAGAAGGCTGAACTTGGTTTCGGTAAGAAAGGAAGAAAACACCCAAAAGTACCAATCACTGAGTGGGTGCAAGAAAGGACTTAAATCCCAGAATATGTCCCCCCCTCAACTGACTAGCCACCACAAAGGAAAGGAGGTGGGAGAATACATCTGATAATGGGCAAACAGAAGTAAATTGTCAAAGAAAGAGAATTACAACCCAGGGTTGTGAATACGGCAAATGATTTACCTCAAATTACCAAGAAATACAAAAGGGGACCTATGTTAAGTAAAAGGAAAGAGCAAGAAATGAGAAGACAGGAAAATAATGGAGGAGAGGCCAAGAGTGATCTATAGGATAGTTTTTGATACAAAGATCATGGCCAACTACAGACCAGGTGAACAAGACCAAAGATGGGATTGGAGGAAGGTGATGAGGAAATGGGAAGAGAATAGGAGTAAGGAAAGAGATCAAGGAGGAGAAATTAAAAATGACTGTCAGTATAAAATGACACTGACAGCTGGAAAAAAGAAGGGACCCACAGAAATGTGTGTGTGTCAGAAAGTCACTGACAAAAGAATAATGATGTACAAGACTTCATGTAGAGGGAAAAAAAAGAAAACCTGGACAGGAAGATTAGGAGTAAACTGATCTAGACAAGGAATAGAAATAGAGGGCAAGGTCAAGATAGAGGTGAAATCCTGGGAAAAAAATTAATATAGAAGCTATATGCCATCAGTCCAGGATATCAGGGAGAAAGAAACCCCAACAAAGATATCTATTAAAGAAAGGAATCAGCCATATAACAAGTACACAAGAAAAAAGGAAGGAATACAGTAAACAGGAATGTAACACGATCCAATAAGTGCCAATAACAGGGGAGCAAAGCATTAGTCAACAATTTATAAGTATTTCTGAGGAAAAGTTATACTTTCTTGCATTTGCCCTTCACCAAAAACTTCATTGCTTTTGCCATCATAATTAATTAATCGCAGGTTCAGACATTTGATCATCTACGGATATTTTGTCGAGAACCAGTTTTTTTTGCATGGTTTAATCTATAAGGCTTAATTAAGAAGAAGATTTAAACATAAAATAAAAATACACATCAGTCCAAATCCTAATCAAGGATCACTTATAGGAGATGATCAAATATAAACAAAAACGTTTTTGTGGAATACTAGAAAAAAGGACAAACATTCTTTATATATAAATTGTTACTATAATATGACTGCTTTTAGAAAATATTTACTTAGATTTTAATCAGCATTTTTCATCATATAACAAAAAGTTAGATACATGTAGTAGTAGAGATAAGAGAACAATGTCCCTCACTCAAGACTAAGTGTAAATTACAATAATTTGAGAATTAACAAAAAATAAAGCTTCTGAAACAAAAGCCAAAGAAAACAAAATTCAAAGTTTTGTTAACAGTGCAAATCTCAATAACTTAAAGTAAGACAAGGAAGTTAAACATGTCTAATCAACACAATGCCAAGAGGAAGAAGTTATAACAAGTGCAAGTGCACAGATGATGCTGTTGCACATGGATGGCTATTAGTGGATGGCTTCTGTCACATGACAATGTCATCATGAGGCAGCATAATTTGCATTAAATCATGTGAAATTATGTGGGATTTGCCCCAAGACTAGTGGCATGTAAATTTCCATGGCAGATGCTCGAGAAAGATAGCTAAACCCTGTGCATAGACGAGTTATCATCTCAAAATAAAATTTTACTTTTGCTATTAACCACCCACCATACATTCATTCTTAGCTTTGCCTCACAAACATATTACGCAATATGGCAACTTGTTTTTCATACCTTCCTGGTTTATTGATATATTTTTGAAGTCTTGCTTTTACTTCATCATATGTAAGGAATGCTACATAACCATGATGTGTCACTGCAAGAATTTGCCAGTTTTGTAGAAGAGATGACCATGGCTGAAACAACCTGAAACAAGATATGAACTGAATAAAGCACATGACATGAAATATCCACTGATGTTACACACTAATATTCACACAAGTGTTTGGGGTGTGTTTCACTACTACACACCAGTACCCACAGTGGTGGTTTTGATGTGCTGCACTACTACACATTAATACCTACAGATGTGTTTGCAACATATTTCCATACTACATACTAACACATACAAAGGTGTTTGTTACGTGTTTCACTTCTACACTTTAATACCTACAGAGGTGTTTGTAATATGTTTGAAACTGTCTTATTGCTAAACAAGATAAAATAAATGAAAATTAAAATTCAAAATTGCTAATGAAAAAATCTAATAAATATTCATGTTTCATAATTTCATTTTTTCACAAAGCTAGATCGTTTGAGACTTAACTTCAGTATGAAAATATGTAATGATAAGTATTCAGATGGTATTTAGATTATTAAAAAATATATTTCTTACAACCATCTGTTTCGTATGTATTTTATAACATTTGGCACTAATATTTTCAAATATAAACACACAATTACAGGTTTTGATCTCAAAATTAGTGACAAAAAAGACAGTGGATTATAGTGTTTAGCCAGTGATCTTCAAATGACACTAACATTTTTTGCTGTTAATCCAGGCATCATTATGAATATTCATACCAGTTGTAAACAATGTCGAAAATTATCTTTAAAAAATAGAAGCTTGATGCAAGAAGAACATTTATAAGAATCATCAATATATAATAATCAATCAAATAACCATTTTCCAGTAGCTTAATGTACATCATTCTCACACATCTTTCAATGGGATTCCACAACTTTTTAACAGCAAGTAAAATGAAAAAATGTGTTAAACCAGTTTTTAGCTTCTTCTACTTCATTTACCTTTCTTATTAAGAAATGTGTTTATTATCACGTACACAGATCTAAAAATTTAAAATATGATGCTTCCCAAAATTTCACATTGTCTAACTAATTGTATCAATAAAGAGCAAAAAACTCATGAATCTTTTTTTTTTGTTTTCTGGCCAGCATTTTTGGATGTAACTCTTAAAGTAACTGGAACATATTTGCTAGTGGCCAAAAAAGTTAGTTTTAGGTCTTTCAGGTGTGTAATGATCAACACATTGAAACAAGCTCTATTTGACAAGTTTAATAATAATTTCATCCACTCCCAAATATATTGTGCTCACAGTTCATAAAAAATGTCTAGATTTTTTTATAATTAACAGTACTTCATTTTCATATAACAATTAATAGTTCACTATATGTCTAAAGTTACGTTCTAGAATTAATCATTTATTTTCTTATTCATTTTATTCCCTTGTTTTACTTTTCTTTAAATTTTTAGATTTTTAAAGCCTGTTAAGTAATTTTGTAAGTTAGCATTTTCCTAAACTGAAAATATATTTCCAACCAAATACTTACCTCCACTCACAAAATAGCTTTTCTCGACTAGCACTGCCCTCTACTGGCACAAAATGTCAACAAACTCCACAACCTTCTACCTCCTGTTGTTGCATATCCATGTGCCAATGATCATGTTGCAGTTCTCCACCAATAGGAACATGACACAACTCCTATCGTAACCAGTGCCCTCTTTACATCTGCATTCATTAATCACTTTGAGACTGATCAGAAGACCTACACCACATATCATCAGAAGTGGAGAGGCTGGGTGGAAAATGTGAAAAGAAGTAAGTATCTATCAGAAAAGGGGATGCAAACCTGGGGTACATCTCCAGTCCAACACCTGGTGGCAATGGGCATTTGTCATCCAGTCCACAGCAGTAGGAGGAGGGATACTGGCCAGCACACACGTGAGGACTTACTTAGCTGAACCATCTCCAACCAATGGGAATGTACATCCGGAGGATGGTAAGAAGGAGGAATGTCTCAGCCTGAGAGGCAAACTGCAATAATACATATACATGTATATAGTCGTGACACAACAGAGTGCTTCAACCAAAACCTAGCACCATGGTAGGAAGTGCTATACATTAGCGACACCTGTGGAATGCCACCACCCTACTCTCATCTGATTCATCACTCAGGAGGACAGGTCTCCATAGTCCACCACCCTAGGAACTGGTAAGTAGTAAGGACTCTCATACTCCACTAGAAAAAAAAAGGTGGGGGAAACATGTTGGAGAGTCCAGAGGATGGCATCACAGGAGCCAGTGCAACTGATGACCACGATATCCCATTTTGAAATGCAGAGCTACCACGTTGATGAAGTCGATTAATCAAAACCTGGCAGCATCTGGAATTGTATATCAGGTCTGTGGTAGGAAGAGTCTCAAAACAACAGAGCATCAGTGATGGGCAGTAATTTCTGTCTGCTTTACTCATGTTAATCCATGAGTGTATGGTCTGGGACGAACATATTTATGAAGCAAAAAACCCCTAGAGAACAACTAACAGTTCTATGGAACACTCGAAGCCTGCATAACCTAACCTGTGCGTAACCCATACCTGAAACGTAATTGTCTCGTCATAGAGAACAATAATGGAGACATACAACCAACACCTGGATGCATCTGGAATTGTACATCAGGTCCATGGTAGGAAAGGGCTACAACGTAGTGGATATTGAACATGGTTGCAGGATGGACAGTACAGACTTTAAAAAAAAAAAGTATAACTAGTCAGGCACCACTTGCCACAGAGTGGGATCCATAATACACTAGCAAAAGGCTCCTGAAAAAGTAAGAAAAGTGTAAAAAAAAGCAACCTTTTACAATACCAAAACATTAAAATTTAAGGAAATAGTAAAGAAAAACTAAGACAGTAGTATAACTGCAAACGTTGACAAATTCACCAACATGTCTGTACAGTACCACTCCCAATCAAGAAGTGATTAATGAGTGCAGATGTGAAGAGGAAGCTGGTTTTGATAGGAGTGGTGTGGCACTCCTATTGGTGGAAAGCTGCCCCATGAACATTTGCATGTTGGATATGCAAAAGCAGGAGGTAGAAGGCTAGTGGCATGCATTGAAAATATGTGCAGATAGACGGCAGTGCTAGTTGAGAAAAGCTGTTTTGTGACTGAAGGTAAGAGATCATATCAGAATTTTTAATAAATGTTTTACAGTAAACTATTTATGGTTTTTTTTAGTGCTTATATTGTTTTCTAAATGCTAAAATTATGTACGGAAAACCACATGATGTTTTAAGTTCCACTGCTTATGCTTGCAAGCAAGAATAATATGATAATAGTTTTGTGCAAAGTTCTTAAAATCAGTATGACAAAACTGTGTGATCATATGCATGTTAATATACAAAGAAACATAATTACTTTAAAACCAAATACATTCATTACAAAAACAACAATTATTTTTAAAGCAAATTCTATTAGAAGTTTGGGTGAATAAATTTAGACATACCTTGTAAAAACATCAAATTCAAAATTGGATATGAAGTCATTACAAGTTAAGTCTATAGTAGATTTTAGAGCCATAGCTTCCAATCCAGAGCTGATTGAGTGAACTTGATGAAGAGATTGTCTAAATATCTTCCATGGTACAATTGTTCTGCAAAATTTATCACTCTTAATACAAAATTTACAAAAGAAGTATCACCAGCACATTAATTTTAAGAAAACTGTAAAAAGAGATTAAAAAATCAAATCAAAGTTACAAAATTTACATAACTCTTTTCTGCACTACAATGTTTATTATTGATTTATATACATCATACATATATGTCAGCATTCACAATAACCTATCCTCACAAAAAGGAAAATAACTACAGTAAACACTTTCCTTAAAGCATATTTTCAAGTAATTATTAATGTGTTTCAGACCAAACGTGATTTTCTTCTTGTTCATGTGAAATTAGAGCATTAACAGTAGAGCAGAAAAAATAAAATAAAAGAGCAAAGGATCACTTGAATAGGATCATTCAACTTTTTTTTAAATAAAGTCAATAAGCTGATTATTATTAGGACTGATCACAGCAAAAACAATTAAATGTAGAGTTGAACATAATTCTATAGCAATACTAATAACCAATGAACATAGAATTTTAAAAATTTAGTTAGTTCAAATGATTGTTAATCTCATTAAGTGATTCATCAAAGTGACTATATCTAATTATATCTAGAAACAATAAGTAAACTCCTGCTGCCTAAAAAAAAAAAAAACCAAAATCAGTTGTCTATACTGAATACAGTTAAGTCAGTCATATGCAGAACACAATAAAAAAAAGTGACAAAATAAGCTGCAGTGTACAGGAAGGCTACACCACACTAGCAAAAAAATATCAAGTATGATTCACTCATATTAACCTTTTAATGTACTCACTAATTTAATTTGAAGATACCATATGTCTGAATTAGGATATGTTTAAAACTATATATATATATATATACACACACACACACACATACACAGATACATAAATTATCACTGCATAAAATCACGTTTTAAACAAGATTTTACTGGGGGATTTGAGTAATGTCCTTAATTCAACATGAATATGTATGATATGTAATATTGAAATCAGCATCCTTTTATACACATTTGCATAGTATTTATCACTAGTTTATAAAAATGAAAAAAGATGCAGAAATATAATGTTTTTACAGATGCAAGGCATTTAGTGTAAAATGTAGTACTGGACTTGTTTGCCAATTGTAATATACACAGGATCATCATAAAAAAAATTGGTTAGAAAAGACATTAATGCATTTATTGATGCTGATTAATTAGATATCTGACCCTGTTTTGATCATACCATTGCAAAACACATTGATAAATATGTGTGTAGGAAAATTATTCATTTATTAAGAATAAATCTTCAATGTAATTTAAAAACAGTAAAATATTTTAGGTGGTTCAATAACCTTTTATTATAAAACTGAATGAATTCTTATAAAAATAAATGTATATATTATTTGACCTTATATTCATACCTAACACTTGTTTTCTGGGGTCATTTTGTTCCTTTATGCTACACACAGTTTTCTTATAAAAAATATCAAGAAAAAATTCACCATTTAACCTTCACATAATCAACTTCTTTTAACTCATTCACTACTGGCGTGTTTGTTTGTTTTTAATGTCATGAAAAGCTACACAAGAGCTACCTGCACTAGCTGTCCCTAATTTAGCAGTGAAACACTTAAGAGAAGGCAGCTAATCATCATCATCCACTGCCAACTCTTGGGTTACTCTTTTACTATGAATAGTGGGATTGACCATCACTCTATAATGTCCCCATGGCAAGCATGGTTGGTGGGATGGGGGGAATTTGAACCATTGACCAGCAGATTGCAAGTCAAGCACCCTAACCACCTGGTCATGCCAAACCATACTGGTGTGGTCCATATATTGAATCATAATGAGTAGTTTCATGTTTTTGCCTATTCAAACACTCAGTTAAAAGTGACCAAAACACTAGGTGAAATCACTAATTTTCTATGTTTAAAAATACATATGACCCCCAGCAATAATGTGGAGGATTGCAACAGATAGTATTTAAATTTTTTTTTGCATAAATCCTATACTAATCAGAACCCTGTAACCAACAAAGTCATTGGCCCACAAGAAATTTGGTATAATAATAGTTTAGAAACATGTTCAAAATGTCCATTTAGTTCATATGAACCCCACTGGTAATTCTAAGATTAAGAGGAAATACTCTTCATTTTCATAAATTTAGCTCTCAGTTGCAGAATTGGTAGTAATTACACAATTAGAACAACTAACACCCGTTTATCTGTAACAGTTTATTGTTGCCATGTTTTTATTTTATTTGCACCTAAAAAGCTCTTAAAGCTGTTGTAAATATAAAACTATATCAGTCTGTATTAATGTTTTTCAGTAAACACATACCAATTACCCCTAAGACTTCACTCAAGTGTGTTATAAATACATTCAGATGTGTGTGTGTTTCTGGACATGTAAACTTGAATATCCTTATTCAACATTTTTCTCATGAATTATTTCAAGTCTGATGGATATGGTGAACATAGTGTGGTTAAAATACGATTATTATACACTTTTTTAATTCTTGAAAATCCCTATGGGACTAGATAAAGAATGCAGTGCTAAAAATATAATTGGCCTAATACTAATGTCTTATGACATGTATAATTAATTGTAATCATGCGTTGCCAGCTTGTAAAAGGCATTCACATCATGACAGCTGTTGTTCTAACCAATAATGTATTTGTTGTGTCCCAGCCAGCTTGATGAGCTCTGGAGTGGGCAAAACTCATAATCTGCAATGAATATGGCAAACTATTATTATGCACTCTTCTAATTCCTGAAAACCCCTAAGGGTCTAAATGAATGTAGGGAAAAAAGTCACAATTTGAAAATTTGTGTTTGTAGAAGTTAAATTATTGAATTTTTCCACTCATTCATGTGATGACTGACCTCGTATATGCCTGAAAAATGCACTTGACTCTGCATTATATATATAAATACATTTTTCAAGTTAACAGACTGTTTGTAGAGTGCTCTTTCATCAAAAAGCATGACACTATGAGTCTTAACGAAGAAATTCTTAAATTAGATGATGTGTTAGTATATTCAATATACAATGTATGAAATGTAAGAAAAGCTATCCAGGATTGTAATCCAGACTGATCTCATGAGAGGTCCGGTTAGATGTAAAAACCATGTTTCTCAGGTAGTGGTAAGCCAGGCCTTGTTCCTCATTTACTTTTTTATATTTATTTCCTTGTACAACAGTTATGTAAGTTGTGATATTAATGTGTATATATCATGTACATTTCATATAATGTTGCATGTCATGCATCATGCTATTATTGCAATAAATAATTAACTTGTAAAATGTTTTTTTGTTGTATTACTTTACATTGTATTTGGGTATTAAAAAATTGTGACTTTTTTCCTGTGATTTTATTTCCAGCCACTGTCTATATGAGGAATATAGTGTTAGAAAATATAATAGGCTTAATACTAATGTCTTATGACAGGTATAATTAATTAAAATCTCTTAAGTCCAGACACATTTTTGGTGTCTGGAAAAGCCAAGACATGAAAATTTACCATGGAAACATTTAATTCACACTCATACTGGCTTAGATATAATAACTTTTTGGTTGAGGCCTTTACCGGGTTGCTATAAACTCCAATTGTGTTTCTTTAAAAAACATTTCAAAAATTTTTATGGTAATTAATAGCTCAGTTGAATAAAAACACTGACATATAATATTTCTTTCTGATACCATATTGTAGTGTAAGGATGTCTGGCTGTTTTCTTAAAGCAAATTAAGGAAGTATAGGGGTTGGATGCTCCCTGGAGCTGTAAAAATGTATACAACATAAAATAATACAATTAAAAAAGGTTGAAGGGACTTGGTTCCCTGTATTCTTCCTCTACATTCATGCCTGCTTATTTAACATTAAATCAATTACAATAATACTCAGTTTTTGTCTGTCCTGAAAATGCACATGCACCTTACTATCTAAATGAGCAAGTGCATGCACTTTATTTCAACAGATGTAAACATACATTAGTAGACATTTTGTATAACAACATACAAGGGGTGTCCAAAAAGTTTGTGGCCTGACCTATAAAGAAAAGAGACACTGGTTCAACTATGATTTATTTTTCAACATGATCTCCACCCAAGTCTATACATTTGCACCATCAGTGCTGTAAGACCTTTATGTCCTTTTGAAAGAACTCCTCTTCTTGGTCCTCAATCAATAACTGGATGGTATGTACAAGTTTATCAACTCTCTAAAATCTTCGACCTTTCAGAAAGGTTATGGTTGGGGAAGAGCAAAAGTCACTTGGAGCTAAATCCAGTGAGTAAAGGGGGTGATCGAGTAATTTGATGAGAGCATTATAGATAGTGTTCAAACAAACATGCAATTTGTGAGCTAGGCCATTGTCCTGATGGAAGAGTACACCTTTTTTGAGCAGTTCTCTTTTCTTTCATTTCTTTGATGCAAATTGTTGATTAAGGATACACAGTAATTTTCTGTAATGGTTTAATCTCTTTTCAAATATATAACTTGTAAAATGCCCTTGGCATCCCAAAAAAATTGATGAAATGATCTTCCCAGCAGAGGGTTGTGACTTGATCTTCTTTGCAGTGGGTGAATTTGGGTGTTTTCATTGCAAACTTTGCATTTTTGTCTCTAGGTCAAAGTAGTGAACCCATGTTTCATCCATGGCTAGAAATCAACTGAAACCTTTACAGTTGGGATTGGCTTTCAATAACTTGGATCCATTTCTGTTCAGGTGAAAACATTTTTTGAACCCATCTGGCACTGACCTTACTCATGCCCAAACTCTTACTCAAAATGCTTGCTACAGTACTTTTACCAATTCCCACTCCCTCTGTTGACTTCCTAATGGTAATTCTTCTATCATGTATAACCAAACAATGAACATTATCTTCAATTTCTGTTGAGGGTCAACTTGACCTCAGATCATTTTCACATGATTTTCAACCACATTTAAACTCAACACACCATTTTTTCAATGTTGAATATGCCATCTCTTAATGTTGCTTCCATTTCCATTTCTTGCAGAGTCATTTTCTTTT